TACCACACCTACTTTTTGGATGCTTCAGAGCTCTACTCATCAGATAGACGAGACTCTTAAAGTGGGTGTTGCTAGTTATTAAAGGTTATTGATGATTCTCTTATTAGAAAAGATTTTTGTTTATTTATTAATTATTTTATTGATGTTTATTTGTTTTTTAGAAAAGAGGTCACAGTGAAGTATTTGAGGAGAGGTTCAGTGGGCAGTTATTGGATGAAATCATGTCATGGCTGTGAACACAGGTGCTTATTGTCCACCATTTTACATGTACATGTACCATATAGTGGAAAATTTTCGTGGCCCAAAATTTTCGCGGATTTCGCGTTTTTTCAAAATCCACGAAAATAAAATCCGCGAAAATTGATTTATACGGTTTAAGATGGCCGAATTGTAGAAAACCACGAAAATTAAAGCCACGAAATTGATTTTTGGACGGATCCACGAAAATTTTGGACCACGAAAATTTTCCGCTATACGGTATTACTTTTACATGTATACACATACATGCATGTATGAATAAATTTTCCATTGCTTTGTTCTATTTATTTTTTCTCATGCTTAATTCTTTATCTTCCTTTCTTTCTCTCTCCCTCTCCTCTTTTTGCTCCTCTCTCTTCTCCTCCTCTAAAGGTTCGAGAAGCAGAAAGATTTTATGTCACTACAGCTCTCAGTAGTTCAGTCTAAGAACCATACTGAGAGTCTCTAGGAGTTTGTACAAGGTGACATGCTTGAGGGGGACAACAGGCACCTTTGTGGAGAGTTTCAAGAGAAGGTATGTGATTCAAATATCAATATAATAATAATAATAATAATATTTTTGTCTTTTAACCCTTTACTCAGTAAGCACCTTTTAGAATGAAATCATCATCATTTTGTTTTATTCTTTACATGCTTAATGATAATAACATTTGTAACTGCTAAAATTGCCAATGTAAGACCCACCAACGATTCCACAATTTTCAACAATTGTCACATCTCCTAATTTAATGACCTCCAAATGAGGCAATGTTTCCAGCTGTAAAACTTATTTATAGCATTTACATCTTTTTAATATTTTTGATATAAGTGTGAAATATAACTATAGTACTTACATGTTCATGTATATCTTTTTAATTAAATGATTGTTTTTTTTATTTTTTAGAGGGACACTTTAAAGCGTACATGCATCAAGACTCCTCCCCTACACTCAAGAGGTTTACGACTATGTTTGGGAGACTAACAGAGAAATCAAATTCAATAATTATTTGAGGTAATGAAGTGGATGGGCATATAAGGGTAAAATTGCCATTGAAATGAAAATTACTTGCCCACATAATAATGTTTCAGGGAATTACAGTTGAACAATTTTAATGCAACAATCATCCCTAATTTAAGAAAGTTTGAGCTGATTCTGATTATAAAGTTTTGAGTGGTGACCTTCCTGTACTATATAGCTTACATGTAATTTCCACACATTGGCTAAAAAATCACACCCAATTTATATTGCACAATTTCTAATATACATGTATTTTTTGTCCTAATGGCTGTATTTAATAATAAATTGATAATATACACATGTATATATGCTACATATGATAATAATTTTGAGTGGATTCTAACAACATGTTACAAGTCTCAGTAACAAGTAATGAATATCATTATAGTCCAACCCACGATAGCCTTGTAACGTTGCATGCATTTATAAAGAGATCAGGTTTGAAGAACTGGATCAGATTCGTATTTCACTTGGAGTAAAATTTTTGAATGGGCAATTCACTGCAATTGCCCTGCTCTAATAAAATAATAACTTCATTAATAACATTATTATTTATATATATAATAATTTTAATTAATTAATTAAATACACTAAAAATTGGTACACTAATCACGCTCTTTTCAATGATTATGTAAAAGATGATGAATTTAAAGTTGATCTGATTCAGGCAGAAGTTTTTAAGTTACAGCCATTCTAAGAAATTATAGTAACATACAATAATAATAATTTAGTATATTGTAATGTACATATACACTGTATGACATGTCTAATAGCATTTCCAGCTATATGTTACCAGGGTTTCTGACTAGAGTCCCTGTACTATAGTGCAGCATCCTTGGTCAAATTTTGCCAAGAATGACTAGGAGAAAAATTTTCATATGTTCTTATGTTGTGTAGCAAGTGTGAAGTGATTCTGATAATTGGATTTTTTATGAATTTTTAAAGTTTCTCAAAAATTGGGCCAACATCACTATACTATAGTACAGGGTCCTTGGCCAAATTTTATGAAAAATTACTAGGAGAGAATTCTCTCTTTTTATAATTTTTCCTGATGCATGTACATGATGTTTTTATGTTGTGTGGAAGTTTCAAATTTGGATTTTTTAAAGAATTTTAAAAGTTATTTAAAATGCATACATGATAGATATATTTTTGTCCTTATGGCTATATTAATAATAAATAATTATTAAGGAATTATTATGCTGCATAACGGTATTGCAATAGATTCCAACAACATGTTACAAGCCTCAGTAACAAGTAAAGAATTTCATTGTTGTCCAACCCACGATAGCTGTGCATGTAACATTGCATGCATTTATAAGAGATCCAGCTAAGGACAGCTTTAGGTTAGAAAGTTTTTGTTGAAGCATATAATTAAAGTTTTTGGATGGGCAGTTCACAGCATCAGTTGGTGAGGAGGGCAGTGGACCACTACAATTTAATACTCCTGATTGTATAGCCTTTTCTCCTATAACAAGACAGGTTTATATTGCTGATAGTAATAATCATCGTATACAAGTCTTGAATCCTGATCTAACCTTCTCTCATTCATTTGGTAGTAAAGGATCAGCTAATGGACGGTTTCAGTCTCCATGTGACATTGCTATTGACAATCAAGGGACTAGTGTATGTTGATGATAGGAATAATCATCACATTCAGATGTTTTCTCCAGATTGAAAGTTTTTGCGTCAGTTTGGTACTAAAGGATCTGCTCTTGGGCAGCTTAATGAGCCAAGAGGTATAGCTATAGACACAGCTACAGGTCTAGTGTATGCTAGTGAATGGGGTAATCATTGTGTAATAGTCTTTACTAGTGATGGTGTGTTTGTTAGTAAGTTTGGAAGTAAAAGTGATCAGTTTAATTGTCCTTATGCATTAGCATTTGTTAAAGATGGAATATTGTATGTTTGCGATATTGATAATGGTCCTCTTGTTGTTTTTTAGATTAATTTTATTAACTTTAATTTTAAGATAATTTCATTTAGTCATCATCTGGTGCATGCATGGTAGGATAATACCGTAGGGCGCCTTTTTTTCGAGGGCTATGAATTTCGTGGATTTTTATTTCGTGGATTTAATTTTCGCGAATTTATGCCGTCTGCCATCTTGTACCATATTGATTTGATTTTCGCGAAAGTAATTTTCGCGAATCTTTAAAAAAATTGCGAAATCTGCGAAATTTATAGCCCTCAAAAAAAAGGCGCCCTACGGTACTTGCTGTTTGTGATCCCTTACTGCAGCAGTTGATCCCATGCATACTAGGAGATTATGAAGCAGATATTGATTCAAGGGGTTAGAATTTGTGCATTTGAGAACTATGAAACCCAACCATCACATGATATACATGCTCAATGGCACATGGCCACAGATTCGCCAAATTAGAATCATCAAAAAGTTAGCAATTGCCAACATTTGGTTTCTTTGCCATGCAGGTGGCAGCAGCAGCACATTTTAACTTGTTCTAAGCTTATACATCTGTTCTTCTTTTGCAACAACTTTAGTTGCCATTTACAAGATCAAACCAAGTAGCCATAAATCAGTGTAAATGCTATTGTACAATGCTGATTTTACAAATAATGGAATAACAGAATTTGAAAAGTATTGCTATGGGAAAAAAATGTTATCTTTATGTATCATAATTTCTTTAGTCACAAGATCTATGAATATATTTAAGGTATCGCCCACTTTTTGTGTCTAGCTGACCTTCTTTAGTCTTTCTCTCCTCCTTCCACCTTCTTCATTTTGTTTGTTGCTGGATCTTGTTCATTTTGACTTCTAATTTATTTTCTTATTGTTTTTTGCCCTATTTTCATTTACCATCTTCTAACTTTATCTCTCTTCATTTTTGTTCTTGCTTTACATACACAATTTTATTCTTTTTTGAAATGGCAACCAACCCATCTTCATCTTCTCCTGGTCTACTCAAACTGGAGGAACAGCTCACCTGCCCTGTGTGTCTTGACCACTATACCAACCCTAAGACTTTAACTTGTCTACATTCATTCTGTCAACACTGTTTGGAAGGATTACCTCTGGATAAGAAGAATGAGACCTATTACCTCTCTTGTCCCACTTGTCGTCATTGTACAGAGTTACCAGAAGAAGGAGCAGGAGCCTTTCCTGTAGCATTCACTCTCAACAACCTCAAAGAGATATACAGTCTAATGAAGAAAGTAGCTGATCCTCAACAGGTCACCTGTGACAACTGTACTACAGCTAATGCCACTGGATACTGCAAAGACTGCAGTAAGTTCATGTGTGCTGATTGTATCTCTACCCACAAGAAATGGGCTGACTTTTCTAACCATCAGCTTACAAGTCTTGATGAGGTAACAGCGTCTGATGTCACTTCTGCTTCTCAATTGCTAGCTCCAGCTAAACAGGAGGCAACCCTCACTTGCTCCACTCATAACAAGAAATTGAAGCTCTACTGTGAAACATGTGATAGTGTTATATGTCGTGACTGTACAGTCCGTACTCATAAAGACCATGAGTATGACTTAGTTTCTGCCAGTTATACTAAACACTGTCAAGAATTGGAAGGTTCTCTTAATCCAGTAAAAGGGAAAATTGAAGCACTCAGGAAAGTCCTGTCTACTCTAACAGAGAGAGAAGGTGAGATC